AGCCAAGGCTGCCATTGGCAGGAATGTGAGTGTGAAGGGGTCCAGGTACTGGAAAGCACTCAGGATACACCCTACCCTGTAAGTAAAAATAAAACACCAACTGATTTTTTTTCTTTGTTCCTTGACCCTTAAAATATTAGACCATATAGCATTTTACAAAAATATAAATAAGTTGCCATTAGTTAAAAATTACTTTACAGTATTCTCTGTAAATAAATATTCATTGAACTGAATGATAAGGTGCCTGGGGAGGGAGAGGGAAGGTAAAGGGAAAAGCCCAGGTGCCTGGAGGGAGAGCACCTGACAGAGATTCTTTGACTGATCCAACGCTAAGCAGGCTCCCTGAACTCTTTTCCAACGTGGACTTCCATGCTCATCTCTGTATTGGCCAATTTGACCAAAATCCTGCTAAGTCACTTTAGCAACACACCTCATCCTCCCCCATTCACCAATGATTCTGGCCACCCAGCTTTGTCTTCAGCAAGAATCCTGTTGGGTCGGTTTAGCTTCACCTTCTTACCCCTGGTGTTTCCTCTTAGTCATTTTCTATTCACTAATCCCCATCCTCCTCCTTGGCTATAGATTTCCACTTGCCCGTGCTGTGTTCAGAGTTGAGCCCACTGTCTCCTACTGCAAAATTCCATCACAGTAGTCTCTATATCCATCAAAACAGTCCCTCTCCTGAATCTACTCTTTCTTTAACAAGTGTCACTGAATAATTATTTTCTTTTAACACCTTTCCCAGTATAAAAAAATAATAATTGACATAAGAACAAGGCTCTGCCTTTCCCTGGTGAAACAGGGTTCCCTGGATTGAGAGGGAGAGGAGAATTAAATGAACATTGAGGAGAATCCAATGAATATATATATAGGATGGCATTATTCTGAAGAGTTCTGAGCTGGGTGCCCCCTCCTCTAGCCCAGAGGCAAGATGGACTTGATGTTTCAGGTTGGTACTCATTAAGGGCTTGGACTTCATGTGCCTTTGCCTCATATACAAAGCTTTTGGCTCACTCTCCAGAATGTGTACACTATTTGCAGTTACAGAAATCTCAGCCAGGGCCACTCAGGAAGAACTACTTGATCAATTATGACCCAATCCACCTTCCTAAGGCCACTCCTTCTCTTTAGCTTCACATTTCTTGAGCCACCCCATAACTAGATTTTTTCATTGTTACTTTTATTTTTGAACATGTGTTATCTCTCTTAAAATGCTTCAGCTTTGTCTTATATTTTGGTTATATGTGTATATATTTTTGCTGCCTTAGTCATCCATGTACAGATTTTAAATTCCTTATTCCTTTTTGTTATGTACAAAAATGTCTCACATGTGGTAGGCACACAATAAATATTTATTGATTTGAATTATTGTCCATTGTCCAAAATATTTACCGTTGGTCCTGGATTTGTATTACGTGCACACTGGTAATATTCTTGAGCTTTACTTGGAGTTTTTTTTTATTAATATTAGCTATTAATTCCATGAGCTGATTGCCCCACCATAATTTCTCAGTGGTTGAGCATCAACCACTTCCTTTCAGGGAGCCTGCTTAGCGTTGGATCAGGAACCAGAAGGTCACAGTTGGATTCCCAGGTAGGGCATATGCCTGGCTTGCAGGCTCAATCCCCAGTGTGGGGCATGCAGGAGTCAGCTGATCAATGATTCTCTCTCATCATTGATGTTTCTATCTCTCTTTCCTTCTCTGTTCCTTTCCGAAATCAATAAAAAAAAAAAAAAAGGAACAAGACTCAAGATTCTTGCCTATCAGACTTACCCAAATGGAGCTATGGGGAGAGAGACAAAAATAAGAGATTTGTTGGAGGCTATTATAGATGATTTTACCCCTGCATAAAAGCATTCATCCCTGCATGAAAGCATTTTGGGAAGCTTTCACAGGGAAAAGTTACATAGATAATTTGTACACTTTAGTTTTTTCATTAGTGATCATCAGATGAGGTAATGCACAGCGCCACTACACACTGGTTCATCCTAAATTCTCTAATCCACAGGCATGAAACACCCTTATAAGAAAGTTCGTCATCTGAGAGAGAGAAAAAATATAAGTCCGGAGAAGCTGGGCTGGTAAGCCTCACACAGCTCATAAAACTGTCTTCCCACAGTTCCTACCTCTCTCTGTTCCAGTGAAATCTAAACCAGGCAGAAGCGGGAGGAGACAGTGTAGATCTTCCTTATTTTAGCCTCCCATCTCTGCTCCGACACCATCTATCCCTGAAGACAAGCCCACATCTTTGCTGGGTTCCCTGCTGCCCTCGAACTTCTGTATCACAACTGAACAGGATCCCAGGACAAATATTGACTGGCTTGACTGTGTACACAAAACATGAATGAGTTCAGTTAAAGAATTACCTCAACCCAGCCTTCATTTTGTATCTCTTGTGGAATGAAAGGTTTAGAAAAGGCTCTCAGGCATGTTTAATGAAGAAGACTAAATTTTTTCATCACCTCCAGGAATAAGACCGATTTTGAAGTTAAATCTAATTTAGTACTTTCATGTCAGGGTGACTGACTTGGGGACAAGTGGTTCTAAGCCTCCACCTCATCAGCCCTGGGTAGATGATAACGGAGTTTTCATTTGTTTGGCTTGGAACAGAAAACCATGAGCCTGCTCTGTCTGAGACACTCCATTCTCCCCACTCCCATCTTGCCCATTAATCCCAGCTCTACCATTTCCCCTTCCCCAAATCTTTTGGATACATCTTGTGTATTTTTCTTCACATTAGAATTTTTGTGAGACATACCATTAACTCTCTATATTATTTTAAAACTGATAATATTTCTGATCACAAATGTGGTTTGTGCACACACGATCTTCATTTCTAGTAGTATCCCTCTTATGTCATATTCTTTAATTGATATATGTCATATCTTGTGAAGTAACTTACAGCTCTTTTTGGGAAAAGGCACATGACTGCTTTTGAATGTCTCTAACTCATACCATTTATATATCCTAGGATAGATATTTCAGGGCATATATTTCTAGATACATATCTAGAAATATACACAGAAAGTCATAGTTAGAAATATGCAGCTTCATTGATAAAAGAAATATTCCTAACAGGCAATGTTGTATAGGAATTAGAGCATAGAATCTGACCCCAAACTTCATTGGTTCAAATCCCTATTCTGTTCCTTTGCATTATAAATTTGGGGCAATTTATTTAATCTTTCAGTTTTCTCATCTATAAAATAGGGTAATCTGGTATTTCATTCATAATGTTGTGAGAATTAAATTAGAAAATGCATCTAATGTGAAGCACTTCCTGGCACATGCTTAAGTGTTCATAAAGTTTTAGCTATTACTATTGCATCCATTTGCATCTTCATGTTCTCTGCTCACATACATACGCATCCCCTTTCACAAACATTCCCTAATTTGACAAGCATCAGTTGAAGACCCATTACCTACTAGACACTATGCTGGGAATACAGACCTAAACAAGACATAGCCTCTTTCCTAATGGATTTCAGTTTTGTGGAAAATATTGCAGAGGAACAGTGATTAAAATATAGTATGATTAGTGCTACAATGGAGTTGAGCATAAGGGACTATGTGAACATGCAAGAGGGGCAAGCAGTGGTGGCTGGGACATGGGGGGTGGGGCTGCTGGGTGAGAAAAGTGAAGGGATTAAGAAGTGCTAACCAGCAGTTATAAAATAGTCACAGGGTTATAAAGTACAGCATAGGGAATATAGTCAATAATCCAATATAATAAAAAACTAATACGCAAATCAACCGAGCAATGGAACGACCAGTGCTATGACATGCACTGACCACCAGGGGGCAGACACTCAACGCAGGAGCTGCCCCCTGGTGGTCAGTGTGCTCCCACAGCGGGAGTGCTGCTCAGGCAGAAGCTGGGTTCATGGTTGGTGAACGCAGCGCAAATGCAGTGGCAGTGGCAGTAGCCTCTCCTACCTCCACAGCAGCACTAAGGATGTCTGACTGCCTAAGTTGTCAGTTGGACATCCCCTGAGGGCTCCTGGACTGCAAGAGGACGCAGGCTGGGCTGAGGGATCCCCCCCCCAAGGGCATGAATTTCATGCACCGGGCCTCTAGCATTGTAATAACTATATATGGTGCCAGATGGGTACTTGAAATATCACGGAATCACTTTGTAAAGTGTATGATTATCGAACCACTATGCTGTATACCTGAAAGTAATACAAAATAATATTGGATATAAACTGTAATTGAAAAAGAAAATGAAAACAAACAAAATTTAACCATTCCCTTTCTTGTGTTTTCAGAGAGATCCTTTTTGTATTTTTAGGATACCATTTACTCTCATCTTCATTGTCCAATAGTTAATTATTAAAAAGTGTACTTCTTACCCTGGCCAATGTAGTTGGGTGTCATCCCATGTGCCAGAGGTCACAGGTTCAATTACCAGTCAGGGCACATGCCAGTAGGGACATACAAGAGGCAACTGATTGATGTTTCTCTCTTGTCATTGATGTTTCTATCTCTCTTTCTCCCTTCCTCTCTCTCTAAAATCAATAAAAACATATTTAAAACATAAAAAGTGTGTCTCTCCGGTTAGATTTTTAATCCCCAGGCAGCAAGACTATTCTCTTCATATTTGCAGATTCTGGAGCTTAGTGCTTCATACATGGTAGGTTTTCACTGGATGTACTTTAGACTGAACTAAATGTGCTCAAATACGAACTTAAAAAAATCACAGGCCATAAACTCAGTAATTTCATGTACCTGAGATCAATAAAATAATAAACATCAGCTGAATTTTAGTAAAGAAAGCAGAAAGGTCCCATTCTCTAATCCAAGACCATTTTAAATCACAAATTGTTTTAGTTTAATGTTTGGCTCAATACTCATTCAGCCAAACAATAGCCCTTGGAGGTTGCTTTCATTATTACAAAAAGTGAATTAATGAGATCTATTCAAAATGAATTGCAGATTGTACTTTAGAAAAGTTTCTTATTTGAAAACAAAACAACACAAAAAGAGAGATAAACTTACCTGTTTAGGCTCTGAGTAAGTACCAAGCCCAATGATAGGAATGCTGTTTCCATCACTTAGAGGTATGCGGTGATTTGCTGCTGTGAGGTCCATCTTGGAGAGCCTAGGACGGCAATATTTTAGGAGTGATTCTGAACACTTTGGACAGGTGTCCTAGGGCCTATTTAATCAAAGAAAGGAGGGCAAGAGGGAGGAGCAGTGGGAGGGAAGAGAGATTGACAGATCTATTTCTCAACCTGTTTTCTTCTAGGTTGTTATGGAAATACTGAGATTGTCCTTTGAACTTTATTCGAGACATAAGAATAACTCAATTGAGAGTTTATGCTTATACCTCTGCAAAGAAAAGATTGAACAGCAACAACAACCAAGGAAAGGGATCGAATGGGGTTCTGTTAGGACGCTTTTGTTGCCATCTAACAGGTCTATCTCAAATTCTCTTAGAATATAAAGGAAATTTATTGGTTCATATTCCTGAAAATGTCAACATTAGGACTAGCTTAAGGTGAGACTAGAGTAGTTCCTTTCCCAGAACTTCCCTGGAGATTCTGAGGCAGCAGGACGGGGCAGGGGTCTGGATTGCTACCACCTAGGTTAGTGGTTTTCAACCTTCCTAATGCCGCAACCCTTTAATACAGTTCCTCATGTTGTGGTGACCCCCAATATCATTGTTACAAATTGAACATAATTAAAGCATAGTGATTAATCACAAAAACAATATGTAATTATATATGTGTTTTCTGATGGTCTTAGGCGACCCCTGTGAAAGGGTCATTCGACCCCCAGGTTGAGAACAGCTGACCTAGGTAAACTTGGAAACACTGGGCCAGAAGAACAAAGGAAAAGGCAGGAAACACTTTCACACCCTCTGCCTCCTGGCTGTCTCAGCTGACTCTCCCCTTATCATTGAAAGACAGTAATCAGCCCTTGAAGTGACTCAACTCCAGCTTCAGGTCCACTAAAACAGAGCTTACCTCCTCCATTTGTACTGATGGACATTTGTACTGCTTCTAAATCTTGGCTATTGTAAATAGCACCGCAATTAACACAACCTGTCTTCTAACCATGGAGGGATTGAGCAAAAAAAGATAAAAGAGAGAAAGAACTCGTGGACACAGACAATAGTGTGGTGATTGCAGGGAAAGGGGGTGGAAAAGGGGATGGGACGGGGGTCGGAGTGGGGGGAGGAGAATAAACGGTGATGGGGGAAAAAAAGAATACAAACTGGAAACAGCACAGAAGTCCATCAATGGGTGGATCGATAAACAAGTTGTGGCACATTCATATAAGGGAATATGTTTTGTTGCTCCTCAGCAGCACAAAGGAACCAATTCCTTATGCAACAGCATCAATGCATCTCAAAATCATCATGCTTAAGAATAAGAAAGACACAAAAGAGCACACAAATTGTAATTTCATGAAAAGACAAATCTCATTTACAGTGATAGGACACTGGTCAGTGATTGTCTGAGGGCTGAGATGGAAGGACGGAATTCACTGGGAAGGGACACAAGGAATCTTTTGAGATGATGGAAATGTCTCCTGTATCTAATTGTGGTGGTGGGATATAGTTTGCCAAATATTATCTAACTATACTCTTACATGTTTACATTTTATTGTATGTAAATTATACCCCCATAGAGTTTATTTAAAATGTATTACTTGTACTTTTAACCTCTTCTCAGAGGTTTAACTTGAACTCCATTTACCACTCTCCTGAGTTTTATATCATTGCTATCATGTATTTTATACATATTTTAATAGCTCCCACTTTTTTTTTCAGTCAATGATTATTGAGATATACCCAAATGGTTGATTTTGGGAAGCTCATTTCTTCCCTCCCTCCCTTCCTTCCTTTCCACCCTTCTTTCTCTTTCCTGACTTTACTAGCATTGATTGAGTTATTTCAGTTTATTTCTTTTTCCTTGCAGTGGTTGCTGACCTCTAGGTCCAACCTCATGAAAGGCTGGGTGTTTATCTTTGTTTTGGCTTTATATTACGTTTAGCAAGTAAACATGAAACTGATCTGTGATGAAACTGAACCAATTCCAGAACTCTGGGGCCAAAGTGAATCAATGTACTTTTGAAGGCTCTTTCCATAAAACCTGCTGAAAATTGCAATATTGTAGGAGAAGAAAATGCATTATTGCATAAGATCCAGGGCAATCTAATTATTCATTGATGTACTAGTATCTGTCTCTCCTAGACAATGAGCTCTTGGAGGTGAGGTACTAACACAGCATAATGTAATAAAGGCTGAAAAAGTGTTGAAATTCAATTTGCATGGATGGTGTAGCCTCTATAGATAATGAAGCCAAGAACTTTAGAGTTGGAATAAACTTTGTAAAGATACTGCAGTATTAACAGAGTAACACAGTATTAATGTCCTAACTACACTATTTGTTTAATGGTTTGGCACCTTTGAGGAGGAAATTAGTCTTGCAAGGCGGTCAGGCCATGAAAACTGAACAATGCACTGCCCTGGGGTGGGCGTGGGGGGGGGTCGTTATTGCTGGCCCCAGGACAGATCATGGGATATGACCTGGGAATCCTCAACACCTGGGGGCCTTCCTGTAAGCCCATGAAAAGCGGGGAGGGGGGGCGTGTAGAACCATATCTGCAAGACAGAGACCCCAGCGGGAGATATATATAGACAGGCTCTCTGCATGTTTCTTCACTCTGATTTGGAAATTATTCCCAGAGTCCACTAGTGTTAATAAATGGGGTCCCTCCCTTTCTCTAGGAAGCGTGCTTGGTATTTCTTTGCTCCTCTGTAACACCCTTATTACAGTTGAGCATTGACACATGAATTTATTTAAGTTTGTTGGAGTCTTTCATTTATTTTTTGGTTATTTAATATTATTTAGGTAGGTGCAAGTGTGACTGTAGATTTCAGGCACCAATTAATACTTTGGTACTGTTTTTTGCATATGGCTAGATTGGCAAATATCAAGATGACACATATCTTTGACAATAAAATGCAATTAATTTACACTGAGAAAATTCAAATTCTTTCCCTGATAATTCTGTTATTTAATACTAAAGTAATTTGTAAAGCCGTTATGTGGCTTTTTATCATCATGTCTTCCACAAGTCAGTGTTTCACAAAGAAACAAAGTTTTAATAACCACTTTATATGGATTGCTGTGTGAAATAAAACTCCAAATTACTATATCTTAGAACTTTGGAGTCTCTTACAAATGTATTAGGAAAGTCTTTTTTAAAAATTCTTTATTGTTTTAAGGTATTACATATGTCTCCTTTCCCCCCCATTGAGGTTTAAGGTATTACATATGTCTCCTTCTCTCCCCAGCCACTCCCCCCTACTCTCAAGCACATGCCCTCACCCCCATAGTGTCTGTGTCCATTGGTTATGCTTATATGCATGCATACAAGTCCTTTGGTTGATCTCTTACCCCGCTACCCCTGCCCTCCCTTCCCTCTGAGGTTTGATGGTCTGCTCGATGCTCCTCTGTCTCTGGATCTATTTTTGTTCACCAGTTTATGTTGTTCATTATATTTCACAAATGAGTGAGATCATGAGATATTTATCTTTCTCCAACTAGCTTATTTCGCTTAGCATAATGCGCTCCACTGCCGTAGACCAATTCCAGCATGTCATAATTTCAAGAGTTTCATCAAAAAGTTGATGAGACTTGGGGACTCAAAAGGGTCCTGGACAAGGAGGGACTCTTCAGTTCCTTTAGCTGAAGGTCCTCTGACCCCCAATACCTTTCAAAATTATATCTTGTCTCTGGACTCTTTATTAGTCTCTGGATTTCTATGTCATCTATGCGCAGCCCCTTTTCCAGATTCCTGAACCTTTCTTGATGCTGGGACATGAACCCCGGCATAAACGGACGCCCGAAGTGGGACTTTCTGAACCCTGGCAGTGCCAACAATACTCCAAGTCCATCCATGCTGTTGTGAATGGTAAGCTTTTTTTTTTTCTTTTTTTTTACAGCAGCATAGTATTTCATTGTGTAGATGTACCACCATTGTTGGGGTCTTGCCCCAACAGGTCCAGGTGTCCCCAAAGGTGTGGACAGAGTCGGTGAAGAAGGAATAACACAGAGGCAGCATTCAGTTGACCAGCATGGTTAGGTTCTCTCGCCTGGTTCTATCCAGGATCTTCAGCTAGGTTCTCTAACCAGGTTCTGTCTCTTAATGTCTTGTTACATCTGTATTTATACCAGTTGATTTTAATCCTGTCAATTTCTATTCCAAAAGTTATGGCGTTTCTTATCTTTATTCCAGGGAGTAAAGATTTTATGTAGCTTATGGGTGATTGTTCGTAGTTAGTGATTACCCGCCTGGCATTTAGTTAAGGGGTTTTATTCCCTCCCTAACTTCAGGAAAAAATCCCTACCTGGGGAAACAACCTTTCTTGGAGAGGTGACCTTGGTTAAAACACATAGTGCCAAGAAGGTGAGCAAACATATTAAGAACAGTATGAC